TGTGTGGTATATGATTAATTCTCTACCATAATGCACAAAGATATGTTTCCAAAAGAAGATTGGGGATATATGTTAGTTTTTCTAACATTTGAGGGATGGAATAAATAGCTGAAAAATATGCTATATGAATCGAATTATCATTAATATGATCCTCACTTAGAAGATAATTCAACTAAAATGCCAGAAGCATTTGCTGATCCAAAATTAAATATCATATTTCAGTTGCAAATGCTCCTATTAAAATTAAAGTCCCTGAAGGATATAGTTTACTGTACGCATGAAGCGTGGTAGACCAATCAGTTCCAAAGGTAACAATCCTTGAAAAATGATAGGAGCTAATGATCATAATGAGGAGGAAATGAGCTCTAGAAAAGCCCACGATATAACATTTCATGAAACACCAGAAGAAGTTCAGGTACCTGAAAATAAATAAAGTGATGAGATCTCAATAAGTTATGTCGCTTAGGAACCGATACAAAATGATCGTCGACGATATATTTGATACAATATAGTGTATAATATTGTAAAAGATTGTGAGGGTCGGACCTGTAGTCCAGGCACCTGGAGATGTCATGCCATTTAAATGCAAGGCATAACCTATATGACTCATTTGATTAAGTCTATATGAAGATCCCTGAAGGATTTAAAATGCTTGAAGCATATAATTCAAAGTCTCAGAAAAAGTACTCGATCAAATTATAAAGATCTTCGTACAGTTTAAAGCAATCTGGGCGTATGTGGTATTATCGCGTCATTGAATATTTGCTGAAAGAAAGTTACATATATGATGTTATTTTTTCATGTATTCAGAATTTGATATACTTGCTGTTTATGTTGATGACATAAATCTTATTGGAACTCCAAAAGAGCTCCAAAAGGCAATTAGATATCTTAAGAAAGAATTTGAGATAAAAGATCTTGAAAAGATAAAATTTTATCTTGGTCTGCAAATTGTACATTTAGCGGACATGATCTTTATCCATCAATCTGCCTATACAGAAAGGGTCTTAAAACACGTTTACATGGACAAAGCGCGCTCATTGAATACACCAATGGTTGTTCGATCATTTGAAGTGGATAAGGATTTGTTCCGACCACCAGAAGAGGATGAGGAACTCCTTGGTCCCAAAGTACCCTATCTCAGTGCAATTGGTGCACTAATGTATCTTGCTAATGCTACAAGGCCTGGCATAGCATTTTCTGTTAATTTACTAGCAAGATATAATTCTTCTCCTACACGGATTAAGGATCTGTTCTTACCTCCAGAAAAGGATGATGAACTCCTTGATCTTGATATACCCAAGTCTCTGCACTGTACTCTTTTTCCCTTGCTCGAATTTTTTTCCCACTAGGTTTTTCCTAGTAAGGTTTTTAATGAGGCATCTTGCAATGTATATTATTAGTGTACTCTTTTTCCTTGACTAGGATTTTTTTCCCCACGGAATTTTTCCTAGTAAAGTTTTAACGAGGCACATAATAATGAACATCCAAAGGGGAGTGTTTTGAAAATATTATTGTGAATATTCATTTATTACTCGGCTGTAGATAATCTTCCTGAAGAAGATTATCCATTTAATACTTCATTGAAGTTTTCTACAAATAGCTGATGCAGGCAGGTTGCAAGCAACTCAATGAAATAACTTATAACAACTTCTTGATTTGATGAGATTAGTTTAAATTGATCTGAAATAGTGGTGGATAATATTCTCTACGAATTAAAGTTTTGAGAAGATGGAATACAAGATTGGAATGCGGAGACTCAAATATTTGAAACAAGGTTTTCATCAGGGGGAGTAAATTATGCGATTCACTCTTTTTCCTTACAAAGATTTTTTCCCACGGGGTTTTCCTTATAGGTTTTTAATGAGGCACCTAGCAATGCGTATTACAAAATATGTGTACTCTTTTTCCTTCACTAGGATTTTTTCCACGGGATTTTTTTCTAGTAAGGTTTTAATGAGGCACATTATCTTTTAATGAACATCCAAGGGGGAGTGTTATAAATATATATTATATTATGGATGTTCATTTAGTACTCCGTTATAAATAAGCTTCCTAAAGAAGCTTATCATTTCGGTACTCCGTTATGGATAAATATTACCCCCGACAGAAGATTATCTATATCTGGTACAGTAACATCTTACAAGCAACTTACAAGAAGCTTACACGGCAGCTTGCAGTAGCAGCTTATACAGCAGCTTACAAGTAACTTACACAACAGCTTGCAGTAGCAACTTACAAGCAGCTTGCAGTAGCAACTTACAAGCAGTACACAACAACTTGCGATAGCAGCCTACATAACAGCTTCCTTTCTTCTATAAATAGAGGAGATTTTATTTCATTATGTACATAAATTTGAAGTTGAATAATAAATCTCTCTCTACTTGTCTTTAGTTTCTTTACTTTAAAGTCTTTAATTTATAACACTTTTCTTTTTCTTTCCTCTTGCCATTTCACGGGCTTCAACTTTAGCTTGTCCTTTACTCAATTGTAAATTTTCTTTGTCAGATAACTTTATTCTTGGAGCTGTAAAACCCAACAGCCCAAAAAAAAAAAAATTACAAACAAAACTAGTACATAGGGGTTTAATGATTAAGAATGAGCTTTCCAAAAATATTTTTAGTACCAATTACCTTAAAGGCTTAAATTGTAAGAAATATTTTCTCAAAAGATTAATTTTCATCAAAACAAGAAAAAATTACTTAAAAGGGGATTCTTTTATAAATAGCAACCTTTGCTCCTACTCTCCATCAACAATTAGATATTTATCGTTTAACTTTATTTTCTAAGATCTATTGTTAACCTTTTAATGCTCCAAAATATAACAACAATACTATTCTCATGCTTTGCAATCTTCTTCTTTTATTTATATCCAAAAGATTTTAAACACACATAAAATGATCTAAATAAATTTTTAAAATGAGCAAAAATTCCGTCTGACAAGATAAAAAGTATTTACACAAACGTTTCACGTACAAGGTAAACTATAAGTAATAACTTTTTATAATAAATAATAATGATAACCTCCTAAAAGTGATAACTAATTTATTATCATAGGTTAAACTATACTAATAGTATAATTTTCTTTTCACTATTAGTGTATACTCCAAATTAAATCTTCAATAATATTATTTTTCATCACTAAAGATTATGATGGAATAGATAAAATCCCTCACCCTTAATTATATATTTTGAGTTCGAGTGAAATTTTTTTATACAATCAAACATCTCTATAATAGACTCGTCTATTTTGATAAATGTTAGTTGCTATAGTGAAATGCTGTTATAAAGAACATATATTATACTATCATATAATAATCGATTTTCAGAAAAACTTGCTTGTTATATAGAAGTCTGACTGTATCTACTTGCTTAGGCGCAAAATAGTCTAGCAGGTACTAGATGGGAAACCCCCAAAAAATATTCCATCAAACTCATTACTCCGTCCGGTTCACAATAAGTGACCAATTTGCTTTTTCATTTTGGTTCAACATAAGTGTCCAATTATGTAATCAAGAAAGAATTCAATTTGTTTTTACAAAATAATCCCTATGTACATATTCCTAAAAAGTTTTCTTATCCCTTACATTAAATGTTTAATTAGGGGTAATTTAGTCATAGTAGGTATTTTTATATAAAATTTAGTATTTTCTTAATAGGCGTACTAAAAGCAAATTGGTTTATGGTGTATCGTAGCACCTATATTTTAGGCCCAAAAGAAAGGGGGAAAATTGGGAGGGAGATTAGGAGGGAGAGACAGAGAGTGTGCGCGTGTGTCCTGGCTTCCGTCAGTTTCTGCTTAGCTTCTGAAATCTGGGGTCTCTTCAAATTCCTCTAATTTCTTCTTCCTTTCCTTTTTCTTAAAGTAACTTTTTACTATTTCTTAGTGTAGTAAGCAAATTCCAACAACATTTGTTGTAGGTTGGTATTCATACCTTTAGCAGTGTAAGTTACTGGGTTTTTGTCACAACACAAGTAATAACTCTGGGACACAATTAGCCCCATTTCAGAGTGATCTGTCTTTCTCCTGTCTTTACAACAGAATTGTTGTAAAAGCTGCTGCCTTTGCAATACTCTTCTAATGGCAATATGTAAGTCTTTCTTCTTCTTATTCCTCATCATTTCTTGATGTTTCTTTAAAAGCTTTAACCTTCTTTTTTTTTTGTTCTTCTTTAAAGTTTGGATCTTTTTCACCTAATTCTTGGCTAAAGTTTGTGCTTGTTCCACAAGTGCTTGTAAAGTCTTATTAACTGTAAATGTTTCAATATAGCAGCAAGATCTGATGTAGAATTGGTATTTTTACTAGTCGGATTGTACTATTCTTTACCTAATTGCTCCATTTTCCCTTTCTTCGTTTTTTCATTTGGTTTCCATAAATATGCAATTTGTGTGTCCTAAGAGAAATTTTTGGTGGTGGGGTTTGGATGAAAATTTTGGGAAAATGAATTTTTTGTTTTAGGAAATTTAATTAGCTTTTATGTGGTGATTACCTGCCCTAAGAGGGGTATCAATTGGTTAGGTTGAATTAGTAGTTATACAAAATTCTGCCTGCCACATCTGGAGCAAAATAGAATTATATTTTTAGTGGATGTTGACAATTGCATAATGATTGCCAAATGATTCAATCTGTTTACTTTCGTTGCTTTTGACTTGGACTTTGAACCCTCCACACCTTGATGTTTTTTCTTTTTTCCTAAAATAAGTAGGTAAGGATGTTGTTACATGCTATTTTCTCTTCAATACACTCTGGTCAATTCAGCTTTTTGAAGTCCTTTTCGAACGGCCGCTTCCCCATATTCTATTTGTCATCTTCTCTTGGCAGTTCAGTTTGTCTTGATACATCTAAGTTTCGTCATTTTGTTACAATGATTTGTTCGCTATCTGAGAAAAGATGTGAGGTGAAGGTTTCTAGTAAAAGCTCATCCTAAGCATGTACATTTATTAGAAATGATAATTAGGAACATCGCAAACCTGATCACTAAAGCTGAAGACGAGCCAACTTAGTTTCCTTTTTCCAATTGAGTTGTCTTCATGTTTCAAGTTAGTAATAGTTCATCTGAAAATTTTATAGCTTCGAGTGATAGCAGTTATAGTAAACAAAGAAAAAGTGGTTTCTTATGCATATCTCTTCATGATTGTAACTGCAAGACAATTAGATTGTGCATATCCGTTTCTATATGAGCAAATTTATCCATTAGACTGGCTGATGAATAGATATGGCATTTCTCCCTTGAAATTTAACTTTGACTTTTCTTTTGAACCAAAAGTAGATTAAAGAAATAGCCATTATTGGATGCACACTACAGATGATAGTACACATTAGTGGTTCCCCACTCATCCATATAGTGGACTTCTCTTTGAAGTTGAAAGAGACATGTATCCTATTGCTATACTTTTTCTCCCTGTCTTACTCTTTCTCCCTTCTGAAAGATTCGTTCTTAATATTCTTTCTAGGTAATTTCTTTGCCATTGACTACAGACACTTACCTCTCTCTGTTGAGTACTTAATCTATTATTCAACAATTCAAGGTTAAGAAGTTAAAAGTAGGCGCTATTTCACCAGAGAAGCTGCACAAGTAGATCATTGCATATCCTCAAAGGGTCAAGTGTGGTTATTATAGACCAGCTAACTTGATAAATGAAATACGCTGCCATTGTTACACTTTTCTGCAAAACGGAAATAGAGTTTCCCATTTGCATGATACTGTTCTCAGCAAGTCAAAGGTGCAGTTGAACAATAAGTGCTATGTGCTACCTTGCATGTGATGTGGTTCATGATCTAGTATGAAGTTGGATAGAGAACGTTGTCTGGGAGGCAAGGCTTATATGTGGCTGATTTGATCTCATGGTCATCAAAGTTGATTTTTTGATGGATGAGAATAAAATGATATCGAACATGCAGTTGATAGTTTAGCTACAGCATCTCTAATTTTGTCCTACCTTCTTATAGAATTCATCATTAAATCTCTCATAAACCAGATTCAGGTATAGGGCTAGTCAACGAAATGTGCTCCATTGGTTTTTGTTGACGATTATGTTTCTTCCAATCTCCTTTTTTTCCCAAGTCCTACTACATTGTAATCAAAGTTATTTAAATGAGGGAAAGAAATTTAAGGGCAGCAGAATGTCAGTAAGTGTAAGGCCAAAACTTTGTTTAAATCTTGTTTCCTGACTATCAGTGCTAAAGCACGTGATATAACTTAGTACAATAAAACGATTATGGACTGTTGTTGAATGAGAACTATAACTAACTCGTGAATCTGAAGGAAGCTGCACATAATCCAAAGGTCAACCAGTATAAGTTTTCCGAGGTGACAAAAGTAATGTTTCAGCTTGTTCTAGTGATAAATGATGTTTAGTGCTTTGGATAAGGAAGCAAATGATATGCTCTATTTGTTGCAGAGATAAAGCACGTGTTGTGAAGCATGGCATCAATAGTATTACATGCCTAACCTTATCCAGTGCAGTGTTTTTCACTTTCAGCATACAATTATTGGTGTATTTCTGTTCAGCTGATGCAAGTTTGACCTAATCTTTTTAAATATTGTGTGAAATTAAACAGCCATGATTATTGATCTTTCCGTGGTTTTGCTTTCTCCTCGTCTCGTTCTCTCTTCTTTCTTACTTAATTTCTTCTGATTTTTCTTTCTTTTTTCAGTCTTTTGAATTCTTAAAGCTCCTTAAGATGCCTTATGCTTCTCGGTTCATGCAGAGAGCAAGATGCTAGTGGGCCTTGAATGAACCTTAATTTCGGTAGTGAAAGGAAAATGACCTCAAAACCAAAGAAAGGATGGAAATCGATTGTGCCTCTCCATTTGAAGACCAAATCAGCAGCACATTTTTGTTTGCTACCCAAAGCGAAGTCAGATCGATACGGTCCTGGTGACACACCTGTTTATCTCAATGTGTATGACTTGACTCCTATGAATGGCTATGTATATTGGGCTGGCCTTGGTATCTTTCATTCTGGTGTAGAAGGTATCAGCCTTATTAGATTTTCCCTCTTTTCTTTAGAGTTATTTGTTGTTATTTATGTGGCAATGCACCCATGCAATATCCATTTTTGTTTTTCGATATGTTGCTCCTACAATTGGAGATACATGCTCTTTTGGGGGGTTTTGCTTTATATATTGCTATTCCTGGTTCTGTTTGATCACATGTACCGCAGTACATTTCATCACCCGATGGATTAGTTTGTCTATCTTGACTTGTGATTTAGCTAAGATGTTAGCTAAAGTCTTGTGTTCAGATTCAGAAATCAGAACTTATTTCTTGGATATATCCATGTAGGATCCATCCTGTAAATGTGGTTTACTTAGTCAAGAATAGATAAATGCATTTATCATGTATTGGTGGTCTAGCTTAAAGTTGGAAATCTAACTCAAATCTCAATTCATTGGAACATAAGTCAAGTTTGCTCTTCATTATTTGGTTTTAAACTTAAAATGTGGCGACTCGGGAGTCATTTTGGATCCTGGTGCCTCTCAATAATTGTCAAAATTCTCCTAAAGTTGTATTGGTTAGAGAGATGGACTTCAAAAGGATTTTATACTTTTTCTGGCAAGAGAGATTCCTCTGAACTGAATCATGGATGCATCAGAAAGTTGTTAAACAACTTAACAAGTCTAAATGCATGTTGTCTTCCTTAACAACTTAACGGTCATGTCAGTTTCTTTCTTCTGTTTCATGAGGCAAGATTGTATTGGTATTGATTACTTATCAATATATATATATATTGTATTGGGAGACAATGGTCTTGAATTTGGGGGATTGGAAAGTTGTGGAGTGTGTAAGAATCATATTACACTCCCATTTCTGTATTTCCAAATTCGTTCATTCACAGAAGATAGTAGAAAGGTCTTTTGTGCATCTCTTTTTTGATTCCTATATTGGTTTTAGTCCCCCGGAGAAAGCATTACGTTGGATATTTAAAATTTTTGATAGGGGAATCCCAATGAAGTGTTAACCGTTGACCATTGCATCTTAATAGTTCAATGAGAACTAATGAACCGTATGTTAAACTTTACATGGAAAAAGGAGAACTGTGAGTGGATCTGCTGCCTGAATTAGTTGTATTTGGTCCCTCATACTTTTGTATGTTCAGTTAATCTGACCTATACTTTACAGTTCATGGTGTAGAATATGCATTTGGAGCTCATGACTATCCAAGCAGTGGTGTCTTTGAAGTTGAACCACGGCAATGCCCAGGGTTCAAGTTCAGGAAGTCGATATTCATTGGGGCTACAAAGTTGGATCCCTGTCAAGTTAGAGAATTTATTGAACGTCAAGCTGCTAGCTATAATGGTGATACGTATCACTTGATTGTGAAGAACTGCAACCATTTTTGCAACGATTTATGCTACAAGCTGACTGGGAAAAGGATTCCAAAATGGGTGAACAGACTTGCAAAATTAGGTAACCTTCTGTCATTCCACCTCTCTTGTATTAGCAATAATATGACGGACCTTACAAGCATTTGGCTCTGGATTTATCAGTTGACTTGGTCTTGGAGAACTAAACTCATAAATTCCGGCGCTTTCATAATGAGAATTCATCTAATTCTCTTTTCCCCATCTTGGTATACTGAAGTCCTCAACTGCAGTAAATATGAATATATGGATTCCCCTAGGCATCAGTTTGGTTATACTAAACAGTGCTTGGTAGAGGGAAGCGCGAAACAATTTCCTTTGCCTCTGTCATACACAAAATGTATAAGATATTACCCTCACAGAACATAGCATTTGGAGGAAATTGTTCTTTTTACTTCCCCAAGTTTTAAGCAAAATAGCTCCTTTTGATAATACTACTTGAGATGTTTATGCATGATAATCAGTAATCGGTGTGATCCACTGAATGTAGTTCGGGACTATGCTCCTGAAAATGTTCTTGTAGAAAAGAAAATAGTTTGTCATTTAAAAACTAACTGCATGAAATTACTTACAGTAAGTATGAGTTAATAACTTTGAGAAGAGGAAAGGAACCTGTTTGAGTGTGTAAAAGTTTTTACACCGGAGCTCGAAATTAAATTCAAAAAGAAAATATAGGGTTTGGTTCTCATGTTTTTCGAGCTTATTAATGATTGCAAATGATAAGCTTCATTCTTTTATTTTTTCGTGTATATAGGTTCAACATTCAACTGCATGCTACCCGAGGCTCTGAAAGTTGCTGCGGTGGAACATGACCCTAATGGCCCTGAATATGATAGTGAGAAAAGAAGGCTGAGAAGTGCTTTCAGTTGTCTTTCGTCAATTTCAACAAGGCAAAGGCAGTTATCGACATCTTCGTTATTTCTGCAGTCACCCTTGAAAGGGTGCTTACCATCTTGGGAGTTAAGAAAATCTAACAACAGGTCTCTGAAGGAAAGGTAAGATAATGGACCCTTCCAATTTCTTGGAATTTGTTGAACAGAAATGTTATGAAGGTTATTTCATGTATTCTTGGGAAAAATGAAAAACCAATCAGAGTGACATGCTTAGGAAGGGGTAGTATTTGTAACATGACATTTCAGTGTATGTAAAAAAAGAATTCCTTATTTGATTGCTTCTTTTGAGAAAGTTTGCCACACTTGGAAGTTGAAGCAGTGAGTTGTTGGATCAAGATGAATGGAGATGCTTGCACCCAAGAGTATAGCCTAGTGGTCAATAAAGTGGGTGGAGATTGGAGAACTATGAGGTCTCACATTCAAATTCTATTGGAGTCGAAAATACTAGGTCACATCTGTCTAAATTTTGGTAGATAAAATTATTAGATACTTGTGTTGGTCGGAGGTAGTAGGTACCCTCTGGAATTAGTCGAGGTGTGCACGAGCTGGCCAGAGCGTCACAGTTACCATTTGACAAAGGCTATAGTATTTGACAAAGATTCTGAGGTAATAGATACTAGCTGGAATGGCAAAGAAGAAGTTATGTACTATAATCGCTACAGATTACAACGGGACAAAATGGCTAAAGTCCCAAGTAGTGGAATCCAATAGGCAATAAATCGATATTATTTCAAGTTAAAGCTCTTCGCGCTGTTGACAAACTCCTCAGGTTGTCAACTTTGCCGTTTTCCATTTTCCTTTTTAATATTTATTTTTTCCTAATAATCTAGTTCTCTTTGTTTCACACACTTTATTCTCGCATTGGATGCAACAAAATGTAGTTACAGTTGAATTAATTGATTAGAATAATGAAATAAATGAGAGTAAATACCTTAAAACTCGCTTAGATTATCACCTTTTGGTCAGTTTTTTTACCTAAATTATCGCCTGTCTCCAAAACCTATTGAACTATATCCTCCTTTATATCAAAACTCCTCGTCGCATTTTTAATGGTGCGTAATTTTTAATTTTTAAAACTCCTCGTTGCATTTTTATTTTTTTTTTCCCGCTTTTTTGCTTCTCACTCTCTCAAAGAGAGTGGAACACACTCTCTATGCCACCTCAACATTTAGGGGGTTAATAATATGCATTTTCCCTTTCATAAAAGAACAAAACACTATAAATGTTTTAGAAAGAACACAATCTTTCTGGAAAGGCATGTGAACAACCTTGAAATTGGTAGTTTCATCAACTAGTCATCACTAATACTTAACAAGTAATAAATTTTTCGACTACCATATCAATATCCATGAAAGATTCATGGGGTTCGAAGAATCGTATCATCTAGTTCTTTTAAATAATATAGACATTGCGTCTAACATTCGCTTTTGTCATGCATAAGCTAAACGTCCCCACATTTCAAACATTTCATGTGCCTTTTCTATTATTCACTAATCTTTAAAACAATTTGATACCATTGTGTGATCAAATTTGGTATGCCGTTATTTGGGTGCTTGTTTTAGTCCAAAAAGGAACTTAACAAATCTGCACATCTTCTTTTCTTTTTCAGGAACCACAAATCCTTTAGGTTGTTTCATATAAATTTCTTCCTCCAAATCTTTATTTAAGAAAGATGTTCTCACATTCATTTGATGGATTTCAAGACCATACAATGCAACCAATGCTACTAACATCCTTATAGATGTAATTCTCATAACCAACGAGTATGTGTTAGAATAGACAAGGTCTTCTCGTTATCTAACACTTTCACAACATGTCTTGTTTTATACTTGTCAATAGTTTCATCATCTTTTATTTTCCTGTTAAAAATCCCTTTTAGAACCTAACAGTTTGTTCCTGGGATGAAAATCAACTAACTCCCAAGTACAATTATTTTAATATGGATTCTATATTACTATTGACCATCACGTTTTTGGAAGTTGTGCTTTTAAGGAAGACGTAACTTCTTTAACAGTTTGGTATTTTCCAATAGAGATGTCAGAAACTCTGATCCAAAAGAAATAGTTGTCCTTTGACGTTTACTAAGTCTTGATTTTCCTCATTAAACATACTTTCTTTGCTTCTTCCCGAGGCCGCTTAGATTTTTCACGAAAAGACACATTCATTTTTATATGGATAAATAAGAATATTATCCGATTCTAATACCGTATTAATATGAATGTCAGAATTTTCTGATTTAGAACCAGAAAACGATACATTACTATTGGTTGCATATCATATGAAAACGTAATCAATGGTTTTCGGTCCAATCTTTACCCTTTTGGGTTTAGGAACTTGCACTTTAGCTAAGCACTCCCACACTTTAAAATATTTTAAGTTGGGGCGTCCTTCCTTTCCATTTTTCATATAGAATAGATTGCATTTTTCTATGAGGAATGCGATTGAGTATTCAGTTAGCTATAAGAATAGCTTCGCCCCACGGGTAATTCAAAACTTATCAATAAGGAATTCATCATTTCCTCCTTTAATGTTTTATTCTTTCTTTTCGCAATTCTCTTAGATTGCGGTGTGTAAAGGGAAGCTATTTAGTGAATAATGCCATATCCCAAATATATTTCTTCACAAAGAGATTCATATTTGTTGCCCCAATTACTTTGTAGAGCCAACCACAAGAACTATTATTTGTGTCATGACAGAGACAGTTGGAGAGAAAAATGTCCGAGTTGGAGAGCGCCGAGAGTGATCGGGTGTCAGCTTCAGCAAGGGCGGCGGCGTTGGAGGACACTATCCGCGTCCTTCAATCCGAGCAGGAATCCGAGAGGGAAACGGCCACGCTAAGGGAGGCGAGACTCGAAGAGCGCATTGGCGAAATTGATCGGGAAGCTTCAAACTTGGGAGATTGGGTCGCTGTACTTGAGGCCGAAAAGGCACAATTGTTGTCCCAAGTTGAATCTGCCTCTGTTGTTGCTCCTCGCCACTTGCACGAGCTTTGGGTTCATGCCGAGGCTCAACGGGACATATACAAGAGTTTGTGGGAGGCAGGCAATATCCCCGAGGCCGCTTATGAAGGAGTTCGGATGAAGGCACGAGAGGCTCGTGTCAACTGCGGCTACGACCATGCGACACTGGATGCCGGTGAGGATGCGGATGCTGAGGAGGAATTTCATGGAGATAATGATGGGGAGGATGGCAGCGATGACGCCGAGTGAAAAGTTGTTGCCTTAGTCTATGTTTTTTTTATTCTTTGCTTTGTTCTTTTTCTTGTACTGGGCCGGTTCTGGACGTGTATAGGGTACGACCATTGCGCAAATGTATAAATAAAAGGATTGTTTCGTCGTTGTACGTCCTTTGTATTTCTCTCCCTCTTGCCTTACATTTTTTTGCTCTGGCGTAGACCTTCAGATTTGCATATTTGGGCGAGCTTAACTTTTGATTTGTTGCTTCAGGCGGAATCATCCTTGATTCAAACTCAGACCCGGAGGTGGTGGCTGAACTCGCCGCAGATCTAAACAAACCCGGAACAGACCATTGGGAAGCGATTAAGTAATTAAAGCTTCATGACTCCTTTTTGGTTCTTAATGTCCCTTTGAGATAGGTTAAATTAGTATTCGTCGTTTTTGACGAAGTCAGTTTCGACTTGAATCATTCGAGGTAGATTGAATTCAGTTGTTGATTTAGGCAAAGTCGCCTTTTTCATATGTATTCGAGCGAGGTCGAATCTGGATTTGGAGCGAAATCAATTTCTAACTTATTTGTACAAGTTCGGGAAACAAAAAACAAATTTTTTTTGTTTGACGATGACCGATGGCCGCAAAGGCGTTATTGCGAGTAAGACCGGAATGGTAATCTATATGATTTGAGCTAGGTCAAATTCTTCTTTTGGCTATGGCCCTTGGTCATAGGGGTGTTATTTTGTGTTAAGGTCAAAATATTAACCCGTTGTGATTCGAGCGAGGTCGAATTCTTCTTTTGGCGATGGCCGTAAGGGTGTTATTTCGAGTTAAGGTCGAAGTATTAACCCGTCGTGATTCGAGCGAGGTCGAATTCTTTTTTTGGCGATGGCCCTTGGTCGTAGGGGTGTTATTTCGAGTTAAGGTCGAAATATTAACCCGTTGTTTCGTTGTCAGATTTTGGAGAATCACAGACCACCATATTGTTTGTGGATCCTGGCGTACTCAGTTTTTTTTTTTGGATAATTTTAGGTGTTCCCTAGGGGAGTCCCAGTTTTGCTTAACTTCTGCGTTTCCTAGGTGATTCCCAGTTTGCTTAATTTTGCTTGCATTGGAGAATACGATGCGTTTCCTGGGTAAGTCCCAGTTTATTTACTTTTTCTTGCGTTGGAGAATACAATGTATTTCCTAGATAAGTCCCAGTTTGTTTAATTTTGCCCGCATTAGAGAATATGACGTCGGGAAATATGAAATGTTACTGTTTCACTCACTGGGGAGTGTTGTACATGTTTGTTTCATACATTTATTGGGGTTGTTTCCATGTATCTAGTCCCTTTATCGCTTGGCCCGGAGAGATCGTCGGCAGGCTGGGCGATGAATTATGCTTTGAACTTCGAGACGTCTCTCTCGTCGCCTTGTTAAAAACCTCCCCGAGAAAACTCAATTGGGACAAAACCCGGGTGAGGGAAAAAGAGTACGATTTGCGGGGCGTCCTTTTTCAGAAGTTGAAGTATTTGAGGTGGGCGACATTCTAGTTGTTTTGTAGTAGTTTTCCTTCTATTGTTTCTAGTTGGAATGCTCCATTGTTCGCTTGCCCATACAACGCTCATGTTCCTGTTTAAACCAACAATAGAGGATAAACCAAAATAAAATTTTCTGTACCTCGATCCAACAGGTCGGTGAGAGGGGTCGGCCTTGTAGCATTGCTTGCTCTGCTTTGTGTCTGAATGGTTGATGGAATGGTGGTTTTAGATTCGGCGGCCGTGTTCAACTCCGTTTTTAGCAGTGTCTAAGCTTTGTATGGGTTGGGCTCACCTCACTTGCTGCAGTGTTGAAATTGAGCCCTGGTCCGATCTCGCTCAATTCGTACTTACAACAAGGGAAACATGTTATAATTCATTCGTGGACCATCCGATGTGTGGGGGAATGTGAAAGTAGGGCAGGATGTGGTCATTCTTTCAGATGACTGCGCAACAGGCTGTCGTCCTCTCATAAAGGGCGGGAACATGGGTTAATATACAAGGTGAATGGGTCAAATGGGGATGTGGTCATGCTAGATGACCATGATTATGTTTTGAACGTGCGTATATCATGCTAAATTTATCGCTACTGACGAGATGTGGGTTTTGCGTGGATATTGGTTATAACTCATACTTTTATGTAGCAGCCTGATCTAGATTAGCATGTGAGATTTATTTACCACTCTTTTGAGTGGGTGGTTGCATTTCGCCGGTTTTAGATCTGAGAAAAACTAAGAAATTTGGCTAAGAAATCTCCACAGACGGCGCCAAATTGTTTGGGCAAAATGTTTAAAACTCTTTTGTCAAACTAATTATTGATAATAAAGAAGGTAAATCTTAGCCAAACATAATTTATTTCAGATCCAAGCATATTAAGTGCGAAATAACCAAGAGTAGAAATGTATAAGATTTATTAATAAGATGAACATACACCAAACATGAGAGATGAACTTACATCTAGAGCAGAGAGGCATCCGAAATGAGGGAGCCAAGAAAGGAAAAAGAAGTAAGTGATGATAAACGAGGGACTCTTCTTTTTTCCTC